GGCAGCCCTCCCCGACACCCCCAGCTCCACCCCGGGGCTGCGAGCCCAGTTTCGCCCCGGGGAGGGCGTTCCTGCAAGGTGCCAGCTTTCGGGTGTCATCGGAAAGGGAAGGCGGAATAATGAGGCTTTGTCTCTCTAACGGGATTACCGGGATCCGTTTATGCGAGGGCAGCGCTGAGATGGCTGGAGGAAGGGGCGGTTTGGGGGCAAGAAGCGAACAATGGGTCTCTGCGCAGCCGGCAGCTGGGCAGAGCGCGGCCGTCCCCCGGCGGAGCTGCCGCCCCCCTCCCGCCGGGCCCGCCGCCGGAGCTGGCGGAGCTTCCCGGCCGGCAGCGCCAGGGAGGGGATGCCAGCAGACTCCGAAGCGAGGGGTTGTTTCCAGTATCGATCTATGCAAATGAGCGGAGATTCAGGTCGACCGAATTGTCGTAAAAATACGCTCCAAATCGAAGAAAGTTCGCCTTAGCAATCGTTAAGGGGATATTGGAAACACAAACTCCATCCTCCTCTCCTGGGTAGCACCAGCAAGACGAGGGTTTTCTCCTGGTGGGGTGGCTGTTGAGGAAGGGAAGGCGGAAAGGGCATTTTCTGAGAGCTCAGACCTTTGAAACTGACTCCGCAGGAGTGAAAGCCAAAGAGAGCAACGTCCTCCCGCCGGCGTGCAGCGCAGGGCCGGGTACAGCAGGGAGGGAGACCCTGCCGCCGGCCCTCCCTAGCGCCGCTTTAGGCTTCAGAAACGAGGAGGTGGGCTGAAACCAGGCGAGGAGCACGGTGGTGGCCCAGCCGGGTCCCCGCGAGGTCGGGAAGCCGTTCCCAATTCCCACCGTCGCGGTAGTCGAAAGCTCAGGACCATTTGTGCATTCGAAAGGCGAAAGATTTGGCCGTTCCCTGATTTTTTCTGTGAAACGGATCAGTGACCCCGGCTCCAACTCGGATTGACTGTCTCGCGTTCTCCAGGGACAAATTAATGGAGACCTATCACTTAATTAACAAACCCTCACTCGCGGCATATTAAACCCGGGCTCTGCGCTGGGAGCGCAGGCTGGCGGGTTGGGGGAAGCGGCGGCGGCGAACGGGGACCAAACGGGACGGCGATCTCCGAGAAGACAATACGGGAGCCGCGACACGAACTGCGTCTCTCATGCGGAGGCATCCACGCGAAATTAAAACTCCACGGCCTAATGATAATTACATCCGTTTTCAAAACAAATAGATAATTACAACCAGTTAAAAAAAAATCAAACCAACCTAACAAACAAAAAAACCAACAACGATTTAAGCCAACAGTATTTCTCAGCCACGACTCACACGCCGGGTTTTTGTGGGGAAAAATCCCTGTCCCAGTACACCTAACCCAAACCGAGCGGGACGCGGAGCTAACCCCGGCCCCGACCCCCGCCAGGAGCTGCGACCGTCCCCGGGG